AGGGAAGGGAAGGGAAGGGAAGGGAAGGGAAGGGAAGGGAAGGGAAGGGAAGGGACGGGGACAGGGGCTCTAGCCAAGGCAGGGATGGACAGTCCCTGTCCAGTACGCTTGGCCTGGGACACACACACTGGGGACAGCAGTGACCCTGCCAGCTACAGACACCTCTCAGCACAGGGAAAGGGTGGGCAGAGGCTGGCTCAGGGAGCAGGCAGGGCAGGCAGGGCAAAAGCAGCAGCAAACGCAGGGGGAAACCCCCACTCACTGGCTGGCCTGGGGATCCAGGATTCCCGGGGCGACCAGGGCTTCCTGGTGTCCCGTCAGCTCCGGGGAATCCCTGCAGGAGAGAGGAGCTTCACACCAGTGCCCAGCACATCCCGGCACTGCTGGACCCCCCCAGTGCCCCAGGCAGTGCTGGTCCTGGCACTGGGAGCCCAGGACAGCCCCACGGCAGAGCCAGGTCTCAGGGTGCCTTTCCCCTGTGTGCCGAGCTGGGCTGCGAGGGAGCAGCATGGGGCTGGACCAGGGCTCCCCAAGGAGATCCCCCCTCCAGCGTGGGCGAGGAGGAGGAGGAGGAGGGAGGGAGGAGGGGCAGAGAGGGACCCCCGTGGGGCTGGGTCCCTGTGCCTGGGGGTGCCTGGGTGAGGGGACTGGAGGTACTCACCCTGTCCCCCTTCTTGCCCGGCCGCTCGACGCTCTCTCCCGGCAGACCCCGCGGCCCCGCAGGTCCCGGAGGGCCAGGCAGCCCATGGCGGCCCTGGATGGACAGCGGAGAGGACGGGCTGGGTGGCAGGCAGTGGCCAAGGGACATTCCCTTCTCTGTCCCTGCGGTCAGGGCTGGGCAGGTCCCTGCCTTGGCACCCAGCCACCAGCAGGACAAGGGGACCTGGGGACCATGTGAGTGCCCCCCACCAGGGAGCTGCTCCCCATCTCCCCCTCAGCAGGACATTACCGGCTCGCCGGGGGCGCCCGGCTGTCCCACGCGTCCTTGCAGTCCCTGCGGAGACAAAGCCAGCGCTGACCATCCCCTGTGGGCTGGCAGCAGCGGGGTTTGGGGGGACGCAACCCCTGCAGAGCCACCAGCGGTGGGGGGACACGAAAACACTCACCGCCTCACCGCGGTCCCCCTTCTCACCCTGCAAGAGGACAGAGGGAATGGGTCAGGGGCTGTACCCCCACGCTCAGCTTACCAGTGCGCTGCTGCCGTTGACAAGCTCGGGGGTCCCTGAGCCCTGGCAGCATGGCGTGGCATGGCACGGCACAGCATGGCGTGGGGATGCTCACCTTGGGGCACTGCACGGGGCAGGGCTTCGGCTCTGGCTCCGGCTGGCAAGACAAGGGAAGCCTTTGTGAACCCGGGGGTAGGAGAAGCCCCTGGCCCCCACGGGGCTGCTCACGCTCCGCAGCCCCCGGGGCACCCTGGCCCCTTACCCTGGTAGAGATGATGGTGCAGAGGTCATCAGTGAGCTCCCCCTCCAGCTCTGCCAGGGTGCCGTCGCCGTGGTAGATGTACCGCGGGTCCTCGCTGGTGACCACACGCCGGAGCTGCTCCCGGTCCGCCCCCTCCAAGCCCACCGCCAGCAGCCGGACCCCTGAGCCGAAAGCACCCTCAGCGCCCTGCAGGACACGGCCCCCTGCCCACGCGCCCCGCTGGGACTCCATCCATCCTCACCCCCCGCCTTGACGTCTCTGGCTGCAGCGATGACATCGTCTGCGGAGGGGCCATCAGCCAGGACCACCAGCACCGCTGGCACACCGGGCCGGCGCCCCGCGCCGGGGCTCAGCAGGTAGGTCCTGGCAAAGGTGATGGCTGCCCCTAGGGAGGGAGAAGGAGGAGAGGGGCAGTCAGCGGGGTACCGCCGGCCACTGCCCCGGCTCCCGGCGCAGCCCCTCACCAATGGCGTTGCCGCTGGGCTCCTCGTAGCGTATGGTACGGATCTGCTCCAGCACAGCGGGCAGGTCGCTGGAGCGGTTGAGGAGCAGCCAGGGCAGGCTGCGGTAGCTGTACGTGGCCAGAGCCACCTGCAAGGGCGCAGGGGAGCAGTGGGCACCGGTGCCCACCCGTGCCCCCCGGGCCCCCCACCACTGCAACAGCCCCGTACCTGGGTGCCCTCGGGGCCCAGGCGCCCCAGGGCGGACACGATGTTGGAGAGGAGGGTGCGGACGGCATCAGCGCTGGAGGAGCTGTCACGGGTGCCGTGCACCAGGAAGACGATGTCACCGTGGGCATCCCTGCAGACTGCAAGTACAAGGAAGGGGTGAAGCCGCTGGCGGAGAGGGGACAAGCCCAGCCCGTCCCCCCGGCACAGCCCTGCCGTACCCGTGCGCTCGCTGACGGAGGTCTCGGCGCCTGGCATGCTCCCCAGGACTGGGCGGAGGGTGAAGGTGTAGCGCTGGCCCAGGCGCAGCCCGGAGACCTGCTGGGAGCTGGCGGTGCCGGGCAGCGTCCGCCCCGTCTGCCCCCCAGCTGCCACCCAGGGGACAGAGTCAGGGGGGCCGGTGAGTCCCCGTGGGGACGCTGCCTCCTGCCCCAGGGCCACCCACCACCCTCACCTGTGGGGGGGGTCCAGGAGAGGACGTAGCTGGATGCGCCAGGGACGGGGGTCCAGGTGAGCATCACCGAGTCTCTCTGCACGTCCGTCACCCGCAGGCTGGTGACGTGGGCCGGGGCAGCTGCTGAGGAGGAGGAGGAAAGGGTGTCCCGGCCCCATGGGGCAGCCCCCACCCCTCTCCCGGCCCCCC